CGTCCTCATAGTTGTTAGGGACGTGGAAGTCTTCCGGCCTTGTCATGGAGAAAGCCACTTGGACGGGGACCGATTCATCAAAGGGTCGGGTTTCTTCATCGACTTCTTTTGCCTCGCGGGTGTCTCGGCGAGGGGCGTCGTTGCCTTTGTACTGCTTAAGTTTCCCACCTTTAATGAGAGTCTCGATGGCATCTTTGAGGTGGATACAATATTTCGTCAAGTGCCCGTGGCTGCGATGGTACTGACGGTATTTTATTTTGTCAGCCCCATGCTTTACAGGAGCAAATTGAGGACGTCTGACACCATCATCCTTGAACTCGGTACTAGAGCACTCCACAAGGATACACTCGCGTGAAGCGGTCAGCGGGGTGTACTTTGTGAACCACCTTGCTAGTCCTCTATGCTCGCGGGGATCGCTAGGTTTCTCTTCCCTTCTCTTCTCCCTAGCCCGTCGAGAAGGGCCCACGTCCTGGTGCCATAGGATGTTAGCTGATCCGCGGTTCCTCGAATCGCAGGCTTTGTTGGTCGCCTCCTTCTCCTCGTAGTCCGTGTATGCCCTGGCCATTTCGAGGAGAGCGTTGAAAGACCCTGGGGGCTCAATACCGACAGCCTTCTTGAATTCAATGCCCATAAGGAGTCCTCTTTCAAGCAGGTGCCTTTTCATGTGATCGGTGCACGGGACCTAAACGGCCTCGCAGTTGAACCAATCAATGTATACCTTAAGGGTCTCGTTGCTTCTCTGGACGATTGCCTCAAGGGCGGCCTCAGTCTTTGGATGTCGACGAGATACAGTGAAGGAACTGAAGAACTGGTTCTTGAGGCTCCTCCAGAAGGTGATCAAACCGGGGGAGATATTTTTGTACCAATCCATGGATATATTTCTCAAGATCGTGGGGAATAACCGGCATTTAATTGGCCCTCTGATGTTGTGGTAATGGAGCATTGCTTCAAACTCGTCGATGTGATCGACAGGGTATGCAATGTCGTTGTACTCATTTAGTAGGGAAGGCTTCTCCATTCCCCTAGAAATGGGAGCCTCCATGATTGCTTGGAACAATGGACTGGGGGGTCATCTTCGTCACTTCTGTCTGGAGAGAAGGAAGGGGACCGATTGAAGTGGCGATCGTTGTGATGGCCTTGGTCTCGGGGAGGATCCATTGGCCGAGAATGTCCTTCATTTCCCCTATTTCTGTTGTTTCCAGGGGATCATCGCTCCCTGCGCAATGGAGTCTGACCGCACCTTCCCGTAGCTTCGGGATGGCTCCTCTCTAACGCAGGACGTCGATCAGCTCGTCATGGAGAAGGGCTACGCGAGATATCCCGCTTGCATCTCCGTGGGAGAGATTGGGGAAAGTCTTTGTTGTGTCGGGGAGGAGAAGTGTCGGGTCTTCTGGGTCTTCTGGGCCTTCTGGGGGTCCGACGAGTTTGCTCGAGCACTCTCAGCCTCTCACCCTGTGAGAAGATCAGGTAATTGGTTTGGTTGATGGCCGCGAATAGAGCTCTGGTCGTGGCGTATGTATCAGCTGGAACAGGCACCTCCTGGAATACATTTGGTTTGTAGTTCTGGGGAGGATGATAGTCGTCCTCGCGCGGTTGCGACCAGAGTGATGAAGAGGAAGTCAGTCAATTTTTGTAGTTTTGCTTGAGACCGAGCATGTTGACGTCGTTGCCAGTGTTGTCGTTACTGACACTATTGTCGCCAACATTGTTGTTGTTAGGGTCAGCAAGGTGAGAGTTTCGGCTCTTGTTCTGGACCGGGCCGACACTTACTCCACCGTTGGGAAGGCCCAATTCAGTGCCTTTATCAAAGGCCCAAAAGCATGCAACCCAATCTAAGAATCGTTTGGGCATTTTCCTACGCGTCTGCTAGGAGGACATTGTCCACGTGTCCATATCATCATCATCATCCTGCCCTCCGGGAATAACGGGTCCAACTCTTGCTTTCTCGGGGCAGTTGACCAGGAAGGAGGCAACGTGCTGGACTCCATACACGCGTAAGTCCTGACAATCTTCGTTGTTGGGCCTCATCGTGGCCCATCATTGAAGATCTTGGCCCAACGCTGGGGGCTATAATACCCTCTCACTTGAGAGGATCAGGTATTTATACTCACTTACTCTCATACCTGCTAGCACTCGTTTTGAAACTTACTTTAGAATCAGAACGTCTTGCAGATACCCCCCCCCCCCCCCCCCAATTCACATTCAACTGTTGCTCGACTCAAAGCTTGAAGGCTTTGACAATTCCTTCTAGTCAGGTACGATCAGTGGCGATGATAATCGTACAATTTGATGGAAGGTTGCTTTGGTCTTGAGAGGAATACGGGGAAGCTGTTTCCCACGAGCGGTGCCATTGATCATATCTGACCAGAAGGAATTGTCAAAGCCTTCAAGCTTTGAGTCGAGCAACAATTGAATACAAAGTGGGGAGATACCTGCAAGACGCTCCAATGTTAAAGTAAATTTTAGAACGAATGCTAACAAGTATGATAGTCAGTGAGTATGAATACCCGATCCTCTCAAGTGAGAGTGTATTTATAGCCACCAGCGTTGGGCCAAGGTCTTCAATGATTGGTCACGATGAGACCCAACAACGACTGTCAGGGCTTACGTGTGTATGGAGTCCATCATGTAGTCTCCTCTCTGATCAACTGTCTCGAGAAAGCAGGAGCTAGACTCGTTATTCCCGGAGGATAAGATGATGATGATGATATGGACACGTGGACAACGTCCTCCTAACAGACACGTGGAGAAATGTCCAACGGTTCTTAGATTAGGCTACATGCTTTTGGACACTGAATTGAGCCTCCCCAACAGTAAAACAAATGTCGGTCCAATAAAAAACACTATTAATTGTCACTTCTTTTAAGAAGTGGTCAATAATGTAACAAACATCACTTACTTTTTTACGAGGAATAAAATATATCATCTTTAAAAATTTATATTAACCACAAATTAAAATCTTTCCCTAAAGAAAAGTTCGTAAAGATGTGAATTGAAGGAAATTTAGGGTGTTGTAGACAGAGAAATATAATGTCTATGTGAATTGAAGAAAATTTATGGTGTTGTAGACAAGGGAGTATAATGTCTACTAGACATCACGTTTGACAAACAAGGCATTTGTCACAACTTTTGCACTCAAAATTTCATGCGAGGCAATAAAAATGTTCTTCCACAAATCTAAAGTTTTAAATATATTAAAATGGCTCATTAATCCCTCTTCATGTGTCTCTCTCACAAGTAATTCTTTAATAAATCATTTGAAAACAGTCCTTTTTCAATAAACAAATATCCACCTTACTTAAAGTATCCATTTTGAACAGCGAGAAAAAACAGAGAAAATTCAGTCATTTTTATACAAATTCTTAATATGCTCAATTTTTTTATGGATAATAGGTAGAATGACAATTAGACAAGAATACAGAAATTTACTTAACTATTCTTTCTTTTTTAAAAGAATAGAGGCTAAAATGTCAAATAGGTTAAAATAATGAATTTTGCTTACTTATCCATTTTTTTCTAGATAATAGCTACAATGTCAATAAAAATAAAATGAGAAAAAGAAAAATCACCTTAGTTTTTTAGTGTTTTAGAGAAACTTTAAACGATTGATGTTCAATCAATCAAAAAACTAAATTTGTGCCTTCTAAATTTCCTTGTTTGTTCTCTTCATACACTTCTTTTAAATGAAGACTTGAATAGATATCCTTTGAAACTTTTGTATTTGTTGTCAATAACTTTGTCAAGATTCTGGAATAAAGAAATCAACAATGTCTAGGAATGAAAGAATGAAGAGGAATGAATACCATTGATGAGTATGCTATGAGAAACTTGTTGAGTTTTGAGGTTGGAGAAAAATGGTGAAAATGATGAACACATTGTTCAACAATCAAAATTGAAAACGAAAAACGTGGCGGAATAATTATCACTCTGATACTATATTATTACTTTTATGAACAAAAGAAAGATTGAGGAATATAAAATGAAAACCAAGAAATGAATTCGAGGAATGAATTCATCATTTTGAATTAATATAACTAGTAAGACATTAACAAACTAACCAACTTATAACAAATTTTAACTAACTGACTAACCAACTAACTTCTATATTTTATTAGTGTGTTTTTATTTTATTCATTTCAACTTTTATAGATTAATCTAAAATAATACTATAAGGGCAATTGTTTATAATCAACTAAGAAAATAAAGTATTGTTGAAAAATATTACACGTTGGAAAATAAGCACATTTCTTGTAAAAAACACTCATCAATTTGGTGTATATCATCAAGTACACCTATTTGGATTATATTGTTACTTGAAAGATTTCTAGATTTATTGAAGTTGGCGTAACTTCCAAGATATACTTGATTAGCCATATTTTTCAATTGAAAGACAATTTTGTATCTGAAACTAATGATACATTCCTTCATCTCTATTGTGGAATCACATGATTTATGATGATAATAAAGAACATGAAGATTCTCTTCAAAGAGAAGAAGCATCTTATGACTATCTTGAGAATAAGTTTAAAAGATGCACATAATGAAGAGAAACAGTATCACGATATATGTTATGTAGAGACCAAACTTGAGGTACACCTATTTGGACAACGTTGTCACTTATAGCATAATTCTAACTTGTTTGGACATAACATGTTAATGACATTAGGAACTTCTAATTTGAACAATCCACATAAGTATTCCCAATATTTCTTCAAATATAACCTAGTAATATAAATAATAATTAAACATAATTCTCCTTTATGGTGATATCATGTAATAGTCCACCAACTTCAGGAATTTGAATCCTTCACATTTATAAAATAAATCAACTAATTGTAAAGTGGAGAGATGCACTAAGGAAACAAACATATATCCTTTTTTACCTCTCAGCTCCAGTATTTTCAACATGCTGCTAACAGTGTCACTTCATTCTCTCCCGTTTTCAGTATAATGTCCCGAGTACCTTACTGAATTCACTAACTGCGAAACGATATGAAGAATCACGTTGAACTTCCAACTGCTGTTTGGAATTGTTTAGGTACACGGAGCATCGGAGCTTGGATGGTGCCTGGATTGCCTAGCTGACCACACGCAGCCATTTGATCATCGCCTCTACTGGTTCTTAAAAGGACTACGCATCCTGCCTCAGCTAGCATGTTTCTGAATTCAATCATTCTTTCATCTTTAGTTGGTCTGAAGAAGGATCCACTATGCGGATTGAAAGAGATGAGATTGATCTTGCAAGGGATGCCCTTTACAAGCTCGATAAGCCTTTTTGCATCTTCATTGCTGCATTATAAAAATTAAAGCCAAAAAAACTGTAAAATCATTTATTAAACACAATCAATAAAGTGAAAGATGCTTTCCTAACCTGTCATTAATTCCTTCAAGCATCACATACTCAAATAGAACCTTATATTTGTGTTTCAAGCAAAGCTCCTCCCGAAGCGTCTCAAGAAGCAAGTCCAGTTTATACTTTCGATTTATAGGCATGATCCAGTTTCTTACCTGACATAATAGATTTTAGTGTGGCCAATCCATTGTTTATTACTATTAGCATAAAAAAATAAGTTTTACCTCATCAGTAGTTGCATTCAAACTAACAGCTAGCGTGCAGTTCGATTCATGAAGGAAACGTCTGAGCTGCGGAACAAGCCCACTGGTTGAAACAGTGACCTTGCGGGGGCTGAATTGAAGCCCTTGATCATCCACCATAATATCTGCAGCTTTAATGACATTATCAATGTTATGAAGAGGTTCCCCCATGCCCATAAACACAACATTGGTGATGGAACCAACTTCACTTGTGAAAAGCCGTCTGGCAAAAACGGCCTGCTCAACTATTTCTGCAGCAGTAAGATGTCTCTTAAGACCCATTCTGCAAAAAATTACATTGTATGAAAACCTTGCAGCAAAAGTAAAGATGGTGGAGTGGAGTAGCCACTGAATTAATCATTACAGACAGAAACAAGACTTGCCTTCCAGTATAGCAAAATTGACAATTCATGGCACATCCAACTTGACTGGAAACACACACGGTAGTCCTGCCAGTTTCACAAGGTATGACAACTGTTTCTATGACCAGCCCATCATCCAAAGTGAATAAAATCTGCAATATCCTGTGAGTTTAAACAGTCAACAAGATTTTCCAGAGACGCAACTAAATAAATACAAGCAAACAATGCAAGAATCTAAAAGCCTAAGGCTTTGTTTGGGAGTTTGGAGGGGAAGGGAGGGGAGGGCTTTAGAAAATATGAAGGATTGAGTGAAAAGAATAGAAAGATTTTAGTTGGGAGGGTTTTGGAGGGTTTGTGTTTCTTCATAACACTAAAAAACCCCTAATTTGGGGGAACTCAATATTTATATTGAAGGAGGATTTTGGAGGGCTTACATAAATTTTCCAAATATCTTGTATGTTGTTATAGTATTCTGAAAATTAAAAATACAGTAATAATAAACATTATTTTATGCTTCTATACAAAATCGTTTTTCCAAAAAATGTCAAATATTTTCCTATATTTTTTTTAAAATTCGTTTTGGGAAGCCTTCCCCTCCCCTCCAAACTCGCAAACATAGCCTAAGGGTCTGTTTGCGAGTTAGTTTTTGAAGGGCTACATCTATATTTTGATACATATTTGATATTTTTAAAAAATTAAAAAAACATGATACATTAGGATATATAATCATATTTATTTATTTTTTATAAAAAATATCAAATACATATCAAAGTATAGACGTAGCCCTCCATTACTTTCCCCTCCACAACCCTACAAAAACCAACTCGCAAACAAACCCTAAATATCATCAAGTAATGGCAAAGGTCACATTCATTACTATAGGTGGACTAAAAGATTCAAAATATATAATAAGAACTGAAAAAACAATAGAGAGGGATAATTTCAACCTTCCTAGTTCCATCAGAGGCCGTGTGAATTTCTTTCACAGCAAGAGCCTTGAAATCTGCATTTTTACTCAACATCTTCTTGAAATCTTTGTTCAAACCTAAATCACAAGACAGAATTAATAAATAAAAGTGCAGGACTCATTAGTCAATTCAAATTACACAGTACAAAGTGCATAACCAATTGTTCAATATACTCAGGAGAAGGATCTGAAGAACTAGTTCATTAACATTACCAATCGATTAAACACTGCTAGATACAGACATTACAAAATCAATAGTTTTTGCCTAGTCTCGAATACATGAAGGACAAGATGAAGAAGAAATCACCTTCCAACTCATCAGTATGATGCGCCCAAATATTGTTTCCATACATACGCTTCCATAACATCATAGCCTGTCCTGGTCTGTATCCATGTGATTGAACCCATTTCTGTATCCATTGGCCACAAAAATAGGAGTGAGCAAGTGGAAACCAAATCAAACACACAATTTTACACTTTATTTTAATCATCACATATTCAACATGAAACCGAAGGAAGAAACAATATACTCAACATAATAATTACATTCACCAAGCACCTATTTATAACATTGAAATCAACTAATTAGTCCAAATCTAGATCTTTCTAGAGGGTAGTGACTCACCACTATTAATCCTAATGAACTTATATAATTTGGGCTTGACTCATTACAGTCTGCCTCACCAAATGGTGAATTTCTATAAAACATTAATTAGGTATGAAACCCTAGACTACATTTTAAGGTACCAAGTAAAGTCTTCCTCAAACACTGTCACAAAACTTATGCTAGTAGAGAAGCTGAAATAATCCAATTCAAACAGCCCTAAAAATGAAACATACTTCAAGTTCAGAGTAAGTCATCCCTTTAAGAAGCACTTTATCACCTCTCCTTGAAACCGCAACGCCGTTTCCATCTCCTGCGTCAAACAAAACCTAATAAATCAAATCAAAATTGTAAAACAAAAATGAAGTAGAAGAAGTGTTTTATATATTCAAAAAGATGGATTGAACAGTGACCGGAATCAGAGAAGTTGAAGGTGTGGTCAGCGGAGACAACCGAAGGAAGGGAAGAAGCGGAAATGAAGCGGCGAGATGGAGTGGTGAGAGAAATGAGATACGGCGAGGTTTTGGTGAGAGAAAAGGGGATGATGGGTTTGAGAATGGGTGGTGAAAATAGAAGAAATGTGGAGTTTGTTACTGCACCCATCGCCACTATGCTCATCCAATTCTTCATGATTTGTTTGTTCATTACCTCACACACCGCAAATTATTCAATTCCTTCCCACTATTTAGTTTTTAAGAAATGAATTTTTTTTTTTTGTTTTTTATAGCAAAATTACAATTAGCTTTGGTATATATACTTGGTCTCAACTATTTATAAAAGGACACAGTTGCGTTAGATCGTCGACAATTAACGTAAAATTTTGTTGAATCTCTATGATATAGATCAATTACGAAATAGTGTGATTGTTAGGTCGTTGTCCATAAGCAATAAGGTGTATGGCTCGAGTATAGTGTCAGTTTCAAAAGAGCAAGGGTCGCTGCATCTTTGCCTGTATGTAGTGCAAAATAAACAAGAGTTTCCACATGATCGTGAACGGGTTTGAGTAAAGAAGTTAGTTTATGAGAGGAGGATTCACTTTGAATCATGGAATATATGCACACTTACTGGACAATCTATGGAAATAGTGGACGTTATGGTTAGAAGGAAGATCAATTTTATGTGCATACAAGAAATTAAATGGATAGGTGAAAAAATGAAAGAAATAGACAACTCGGGATTTAAGCTTGTGTACACTGAAAAAGTTAAATCGAGATATGGGGTGGAGATTATTATGGATAAGGAGTAGAAAAAGGATATTATGGATGTGAAAAGTGTAGGAGATCGAATAATAGTCTTGAAGTTTGTAGTGTAACAAGACATCTTTAATGTTATTAGTGTGTACGCACTTATAGTTGGGTTAGCAGAACACCTTAAGATAAAATTCTAGGAGGATTTAAAAGATTTACTTCATGATATACCACAAGGTGAGAAGCTTCTCCTATGAGAGGATCTTAATGAACATGTAGGTAGTGTATCAAGAGATTTTGAAAGTGTGCATGAGGGGTTTGACCTACATGAATCTTGTTCTGTAGGTAATAGACTTTTTATGGTGATAACTATAAAGAAAAGAACATAGACAACCATCATGATAAAGATGCAACTAATGATAAGTCAAACAATGCACTTAAGTGGTTAAAATGCAACCCATGAATATAATGGTTTGACAATCTTGACTATCAGATAAAGGCAAACAAACTAGATTCTACCAAAAGCCTCAAGAGATCTCAAGCAAGTATCAATGCAAAAGATAACAATCGACAAAGACTTAGAGAAAATATCCTAAATTAGTAAGTGACTGAAACTATGTAAAAGAAAATAGACTTTTTCATAGACACACACACTAAAACAATTTTCTCAAATGATTTACCAAAAGAAAATACTTTGAAAAATATATAGAAGTTGTATAGAATAGGATGGGAGCAATCAAAAGTCATAAAAGAATTTTTTACTCTATTTAATCAGTTGGAGAAAAATGCTAACTTATTAGATTGGCGCAAACTTGAGACGCAAGGCAAGTTAAATGCATCCAGATTCTATACAACGACTATATATCTTAGTTTTTCATATTGAGAACTTATATATGATTGATTTTCCAAAATTAACCGATTGGAAAAAAGCTCCAATCGATTTGATAACAACTTTTTTGCTTAAATTCTATTTCCTTTTTTTGGGAACCTCAAGCCTAGAAATAGAGGCTCACTTTCTCATTTCAAATCATCCATAACACGAATTTGTATATTGACACTCACACACAATCTCTCTCTAAGTTTTATTTTAAAATTTCTCTCACTAGTTCTTGTAGCCAAATACTTTTGTGAGAAAAGTAGCATTTGTGAGTGAGGCCATCATTATAATTTTAAAAGGATAGAATTGTAAAAATTCTCCAAGGTAATCATGTTTATAAACATTGGTTTAATACTGTCTAAATATGGATTATGTATGTGGTTCTAAGCTAAATCCATTAAAAGGTTACTTTTGGGGATTGCGTGATCAATCCTAATTATAGGTTGAAGATTAACCTTATCCAAAAATCTTCATTGGTTCTTGGTTAGCTTGGCTAAAACCAAGATATGTTGAAGATTAGCCTTGTCCCAAAATATTTATTGGTTTTAGATTAGCCTGGCTAAAATCTCAAAGGTTGTTTAGTCATCATGTTAAACCAAAAGGGAGCTCAGACATTTTGGAACTTAAAGACCAACTGCTACAAGGTATGTTTTTGTAGATAGAAGACTAATCACTTTAATCTACAGTTAGGAAGGAAGTTTGGCCACTTCACTCTCAACAAGCTATTAGAGAAAAGATGCAAATGCCCATATCTTTCATCTTGTATCATTTGGTTGTAGGACAACCACTGTTTCTTTGTATAAGGGGGTTCATGAGTCTTTCCTACTAAAAGCTATCAATTATTATTAGAAACTCTCAAGACCAAGTCTTATGGAGAATAGTAGGTCAATTTTGCTTTTTGACCGAACCTCTATAATTCTTGGTGTTCTCTTTATTCCCTTTGTGTTTTTATTTTCCGCATTTAAATTCAGTATTTTACTTTTCGCTGCTCAAATATTTGAAAAATGTTTTTAAACTCTAAAGTGGGATCTTTGGTCAAAAATTAGGATACAACGAATTTGAACAACCACAAGGAATATAAAATGATACGTGAAATAAGATAGTCCAAGAGATTAGAAAAGTTGCTAAAGAGACATTGGGTGAATCAAGAGGTTTGGGATCTAGGGGTAAAGGAGCATGGTGGTGGGATGGAAGTGTCTGGGGTAAAGTAAAAGTAAAAAATGATTATTTTAAAGAGTTGTCTAGGTGTAAAAATTCTGAAACTTGGAAAAAGTATAAGAAAGCTAAGAATGAGACCAAGAAGACGGTGAGTGAAGGAAGAACCTAAGCTTTTGATAGATCATACTAATGTCTAGGAATAAAGGAGGGAGAGAAATTTATATATTGGCTTGCTAAGGGAAGAGAAAGAAAGACTAGAGATTTGGATCAAGTGAAGCATTCTAGAGATGAATAAGAAAAAGTCTTAGTTCAGAAAAAAAGATCTAAAGGATAGATGGAAGATATATTTCTACAATTTATTTAATTAAAGATATGATATTTCACCGGACTCTAGCAACTCGATATTTGAGAAGAGGATCAGAACTTTAATTACTATCATCGAATTTAAAAACATGAGGTAAATGAAGTATTGAAAAGAATGAGTAACGGTAAAGAGGCTGGGATAAACAACATACCTATTAAAGTAAGGAAAAATCTTAGAGATAGAGGTATTGAGTGGCTCACCAGACTCTTTAATAAAATTATGAGGTCAAAACGCATGTCAGATGAATAGAGAAAAAGCATTTTAGTTCTAATCTATAAGAACAACGAGGATATACAAAATTGTAAAAATTATAAGGGGATTTATGGTAATTTGAAGGTTTCTGGTGTAGATAATGTTGCTAATATTATCACCAAGACATTGCCAAGATGTAAGTATTTCCATTGTATGTAGTTGATAAAGTTGCACGAACAAAGCTTGTTTGTTTCCTTGATGTTGTAGAGTTTGTTCCAAGGTTGAGATTTATGGTAATATAGATCAAACTCTAGTCTCGATAAGGATAACTTCTTGGTTCGATAGAGGTTAAGCATGTTATCGAAGTATGTTCACATACTAATGTCGAAGTCCTGTATATTATAGTCGAAGTACGTTCAAGCATGCAATAGTCAAAATATGCTATGTTGTTAGCATGTTGAATTAGGCCAGTTTGTTAGCCCAATTGTTTAATTTAGCTTGTAATTTAAGTTAACTCAATAGTCTATAAATATACTAGTTCTCTCAGGTTGTTGAGAGATCATTCGTTGTTGTTATTTACTTGTAATATTTGAACCCTAATAGAGAGAAATGAATAGTAAATAGTTATAACCAATCCTAATTTTCTTCTTATTTGTCCCTCATCTCTATCTATTTCGTAAAACCTAATAAGGTTTCTTATGTTTGTTCAAGAAACTCAATCTCTCTCATAGGTTTGATTTGTTCTTATGCCACTCCATTATAACAATAACAATATATATATATATATATATATATATATATATATATATATATATATATATATATAACCGCAATTGATTGGAGAATAGAGGTTGTGATATGCAATAGCAAACTTGAGCTTCAGATGTGTTGTACCCCAAAATTTGATCTCCTATTTTTCAAAAACAAATTGATTCAAGATATCCCCTCATGCACATGAAGGTCTCAAACACTCAAGACTACTCAAGGATTGATCAGATGAATCCTCCTCCTAAGCAGTGACCTACAACTAGGGTTTGGTTGTTCTCAGGGAAGATTGTACTTCTAAGGCCTCAAGTGGAATTCATGGTTTCTCATATACTTCAAGATATCCTCATGCCAAATTTTAAGCCTTGCAGCACCAGTTTGCTCAGCCAATTGGTCAGATGATTGAAAATCAACTATATTGGACAAAAAGTCTACTTTGACCAATTTATAGTCAAAATTCAAGATTTTTGGTCAACATCAACATTTTGAAGTCAAATTCATTATTTTATCAAGTTTTGATCATGATTCATCAAGAAAATCAAGATTCATCAAAAGTCAAAAATTACTAAATTAGGATTTTCTTTAGAAGAAGTCAATTGAACTTTGTTCAAGCATAACTTTTACATACTTCATTAGAAAATTCTCAACCAAAGCTCATTTTGAAGTAAATTCAATTCTCTACAACTCCGTCTCTCTCTAATCTCAAGGCGAAAAAATGCTTAATTTGAGAGATATGGGCCAAAACATTACAGGTCATTTTAAAAGTCAACAAAAAGACTTTTTTTGTCAAAGCAATTTACATCAAGTTAAAGTCTTCAAATGAAAAAATAACCAACATGTAGATTGTAGGGGACATCATGAGGTTTCCAAAAAGTCTCATATCACCTCCATATGATGAAAATTGAGTGAGATATGATTGGTGCAAGTTGGGTAATTTTGAGAAAATGCATGAAACTCAAATTGAACAAATTGAAATTTTTGAGCTAATGCGCTTATCTTTTAAGGTCCAAACGCGTTCCTGATCTCATAATAGGCCTCTAAGTCCATTTATTTATTTTTGCGGTTTTTATTTCTTTTTATTTTGATTTTATTCAATTAAAAGTAAAATAAATCAAATAAAATACTAAAACAAAGATATGAGGCGCATGACTTTTGTTTTAAATCAAATCATAAGTCTAAAAATTAGATAATAAATTAGCGAAAATATGTGGGATTGATTGGTACATGATTGGCTTGAAAAGGGAAGATTTAATGCAAAATTTCCAATCAAATATTTTGTCATGAAATACAAAGATTTGGCTCATGTTTGTTGACCTAATTCATGGCCTATAAATAAAGAACATATTCATACATCCAAGGACACGAAATTACCTCAAGAACACACTCCTACAAATTCCAAAAATTTTCAAAACTAGGGCAAGAACAAATCCTTGTCTCCAGCCTCTTGCAATCAAAACTAAGCATTCCATCGAGTTCCTGAAGTCCCCGGGGATTCATTCCAATCATCATTCCAGCTTGAATTATCCCAAAACGTGCCAACTAACACCACCGATTTGTTGGACTTTCTTGAAATTCAAACTACTTATTCATGTAATATAAATGAATTTTATGCATATATTCATGATCATATTGATGTGTGGAATTGTTTTGACGTGTTACTTTTGAAGTTTAGTGCAGGAATAACAAAGTGTCATTGTTAGGGCATAAACTAGTTTTTGTTTTGAAACTCATGATAGTCACTTTCAGGCTAAAACAACCTCACCATTGGATTCAGGAGGGTCGATTTAGAGGGATAAGGTCCTCTTTTGTCTCTAACGCGCGCTATTTTTGCAGGTTGATAAAAGGTATAGCCGGAGAAGATGACCAGAGCTAGGGCTCCAACGCTTCTCTCGTTCATTGGTTTTATTATATAATTGTTTTGTAGTGTTATGATAAAGGATTGGAAGTGTAGCACAAATGGTTGAGGCGAGGGTGTGTAATGTGAAAGGCGTGGGTTCGGTTCCCTGCATTATGTGTTTATTTTTGTTATTTTCTCAAACTAACACGCAGGTTCACAATATAATGATCCATTCCTATTTTCTATCACCAACAGCGCGTCGACTCAGTGGCAAGGGAGGCGCTATATGACTCTAGGGGCGTGGTTTCAACACTCACCCCTTGCATTTCCCCCTATTTTTTGTTTTAACTTAATTCCTTTCTATTTTCTTTTTTCTAACCCTAATTATTTTTCTATTTTCTATTAAATCCTAATTAATTTTTTAACAATCAATTAACCTAATTTTTAAATACTAATAAACTAGGATTAGGGTTTTAATTAATAATTAATTTTTTTCTTATATTTTACTAATTAATTAATTAACTAAACATTTTTTATTATTATTAAAATCAATTAGAATTTAGGTTTTATTAATTATTTTTATCACTTAAAATATTTTTTATAAAACATTAAAAATATTAATATTTAGAACTTTAGGTCTTTTAAATATTTTCTTTTTTCAAAAACTTTTTCTTATTTTCTTTTCTTTCTATTTAATTTTCTTAGATAAAATGTATAGGTCGCACTCTCCAATGTAATAGCGTAGATTTACATTCCCGCATTTTTCTGTTCACAGAGTGTAATAGCGTAGATTTACTTTCCTGCAATTTTTATACTTATATATCTCTTCCAAAGCCATGTAATAGAGTAGGACTTTATATTCCGCACTTTATTTTTTCTCAATATGTTTAACTGTTAGTAACTAGGGTTTGTATGACAAGATTAAAAGCAGGTGTAGATAATCCTAATTTTCAAGATAAATAACTGAATTAACACATTTCACACACTTGCACCTCTAGGGTATCCTCTCTTGTTGCCTTACGAATATTGGTCACGTCCCTCGAAATTAGGGATGCTTTAGCAAAATACCCTTTCAAATAAAATATCATAGTCCCTCGATGACTCTTCGAAGCTGCCTACCAAAATGATCTAGTCCATGCAGTGCAAATTGCTAAAGCATCCTTACATGTTGCCTTCGATGACCCTACGATTGTCCCTTCACATCCAATAGATAGGGCTACCTACCAACTAATGGTATGAATAGTACTATCTCTAAAGAAGAAGGAAACAAATAAGAAAGACTTTAATGGATAAGAAACTCCTAATTGCTTGCTCACAATTTTTCTCACAAACATTTTTCACACATCACTTTCAAACAAATATTTTCAAAACACTTTATACGCATTCTTGAGGACTGATACAAGAATCATTACAAAGTTAACCTTACATTGACTTTTCAAAATATTTTCAAATTACACAAACAAAGTAAGATTTTCAAAAGTAAGCTAGCAATTAAGAGCCCGTGGATAACTACGGATGAAAAGGGTGCAAACACCTTCCCTTTTCATAACATACCCCCGAACTCAAAATCTATCAAAGGTCTTTCCTATTCTTTTCACCTTTCCTAAATTTTGGATAAAAAAAGTAAGTGGCGACTCTAGCTATCCACACATTTGGATAAAACAAAAAAGTCAATTCTCCCACCATATTACAAGATGCAATAAAGGAGAGGTTGGCCGACAAGCTTAACACTCTAACGCTTAATTCAGTACGTGAGTGAGATGAGTAAATGAAGTTTTGAATTTTAAATTGTGTTCCTGGAGAATGATGCATTTTAATTTATATACTAGAACAGTTGTAAGTACCCATTATTTTACAAGCATAGGATGTGGGGAGCCGTTGGATGTATCTTGGATCTGGATTTCCTATGCTCTTCCCTAGGGTAATACCCCTACACTGCAAGCTCCTGAACCAGTTGTTCCTTTCTCTATGTTGCGGCCATTGGGCTCTATGGGCGACCCAAAACAGTTTCTCCCAAGCTCTTGTCTCTGATTGGCAGTGCGAGGGCTAGAGTAGTATTATCCCTTTTGTAACGGTCACATCCCAACTAGAATGGAAATGCAAGAGGTGACATTATTGTCCTTGGGAATTTGCGCCTTTAATGAGCCTCATGCTACAAACGTCTTTTCGTAAGTTCTGTCATAATAATCTTTAGAACTGAAACACTCGAGTGTTTTCTTAAGGCGACCTTGAGCGTTAATAACACTTATTGCTCTTTGGTAAGTCATCACGTGATCTTTGAAGAGTTAGCTTTATAGTTTCTTGAGGCATTACCTTTGCTTATATGTCACATGTATCTTCACAACATATCATCTTTATGTAACTGAAGAAAGTAATGCATACCATATCATGAGTCAAAAATCAAAAGAAGATGTTTCTGCTTCTTGGGTTGATCATGTCACTTCGTCAAATGTTTTTATCTTTTCTCGAGAGGGTAACCTTGATAGATCTTTTCTAGATGCAGGTCCTTCTTTGGATTGGGGTGTATTAACCCCGACGAAGACAGAAGGATTTGATGTGAATATGGCGAATGCACCATTCCATTTTATGAGTGCACCTTCTCAATCTTGGGTTTCTGCTTGCCCTTCAATAACTTTGAGATAAAGATTTTAATCGCGCCCCTTTCGCAACTACACCATCCAAGTTAGGCATATATTAAAGTCTTCCAGTACTGGTGTAAATATCAGGGGTAAATCCCTCTTTGTCCATTTTCTTCCATATTTCATAGTACAATGTAGTTCAATAAACTAGATGTGGGGCCTGAGCTTGATTAATTTGGTGCAGGTCATTCATTGTTTCAGAATGTTTTTAGAGAACTTGAAGCATTTTGAAGTTTGATTCTTAATGGTTGTTCCTCTCCAAAAAGAGGCCCATGCAACAATATGTACCATAGGGAACAAGGTGATCGACTTATGTACTGGCTTGTTTCATAAGTACTAGAAAAAATGTCATTTTCTAACGAGAAATGGGTCATACATCTATAAGGAGGATGATCTATCTCGGGAGGAACTTTATTTGAAGAAACAACTAGTTATTTACGTCAAAGAGTTGAGTTATGTCGGGGGCATAAACCCCTAGGATAAAGCTTCAAGAAAGCACTTGAAATGGCTTATTGAAACCCTCTTGTTGATGGACGCTCGTACTAAGGAGGAGAGGAAGGTCATTTTGGTAAGTTTTTGACATTCTTACCCCCTCGGTCTGTTCGACTGTTTTTAATACTCTTAACTTTTAGTAATCATTCTCTGCATATTCGATGAAGAACTAAGAGATAATACACCAATTAAGGAGGGGAATCAGGATCGCCCCGACTGCTGGTGGTCCTTCAAACACTTCAATGTCGGTCGATGTTCTTCCTACGACTATGATGGAAAGGGTTTTGCCTCAACCTCTTCTAATGGATTCTCGAGGGGAAACCTCCTTAGGGTATGCTAGAGGTGTTGGTATCCTTAGTGATTCTTTGCTTGAACATTTGAACTATGCATTGATTGAAAGCATGCAAAATGGATCAAGAAATCACCAAAACAACACAAGAGATCAGGCCAATGACTTTTTCTAACAAATCAAGGCTCACTTAGCCAAGAATATAGGCACGCTTAGCAAGAAAATATACATATTCACTAAGCCAAGAAACACAAGCGCACTTAGCGAGCAAAGGCGATTCAAAGACTTCGGGGTTAAGTTACTTCAATGTGAATCAAGGGTTTGATGGCTAAGCGGGCTTAGGAGGTTTGCTACGAGCATAGGCAACAAGGCTAGGCCTATGGTAGCTTGCATTACTTAACCTAGAAGAAATTAGGTGCACTAAGATATCTTGGATGGTGCACTTAGAGAGCCTACTTTTCCCACACCTACAACTAGGGTGCTAAGCCCTTTTACTTCTAAAGTCATGCAACATATGGTATCACTCCACAACTCTAAAAATAAAAAAATATTAATAAAAACCATTCAAAAGTAAAGTGAATATTTTAGTATTATAATTATATGTTACTAAGTCATATAAAATATTTACTTGTTCGTTTTCACATATCCCTTCTTGATGATCATAACGAATAACATACACGTCATTTGAATCATTTTATTCATATGAGGTACATATGTATGTTGTGAAAAAGGGGTATATGAAATATCAAGATTTAAATCTTGATTTTTATCACTAACAAGAATGTGTTTTCCTTGTAGAACAATTGACCGTCTATTTTTAGAAGGATCAATGACATAAACAAATTGTTTTTCTTGAGATTCTATGGTCAATGGTTCGTTCGTATAATATGCCAAAGGTCAGGTTGTGATAATCCTAATTCATTGATTTGTTCACGTTTTTTACTAAGTTTTTACCTGTTAAATATCATAAAAAATACCAACAAAATATTTTATGTCTAGACTTTAGCATCCAATAGATGATAGACTTGAATCTAGTAATGAACGGTACCTTTCGAATATCAAGTCATATCATGAAAATATATTTTAGGTAGCGAATACAAAATAAGTATTAAGAACAAAGAAATCCATCAATATTAAAACTTAAGAAGAATTACATAGAACGCCATGGTCGAGACCAAAATATAAGTGACAAGACAATTACATCTAACCTCAATAAAAGAGAAAATTAGTTACGCTTACTCATTGTAAGTTTACCGTCAAACCTTAAAAAAAGAAATTGAAAGTATATGTTGACGATTCTTTGACTGTTAGAGCACAAGGTTGAAGATGAAGATAAAGATGGAATAAGAAAGAAGAGAGAAAAACGTACAAACTTTCAATGGTGAAAATTTAGTTATGATTTCACTGTAACTAACTTGTTTAAATACAAAAAAAGTAATCAAATATCACATAAGCAAACTATGTCACGTAAGTACAACTAACTAGACTTGAACATGCAACTTTCTCAACTACACTGAATAAGATTCTGAAACATGTAGCTTCTGAATAACCCAACTTTTAGAAATATTTTTGACTAACAATCTCAAAAGTTTCTAACTCTTACAACAACTTATAAATATAAATTATTTCTAACGTATAACATGGTGCCCGGCTAAAAATGTGAGTAAGGTGAAGGATGAAAACAATACTTATTAAAAAGAGGTTCATTTCTGTTTGAGGTACAATTTTCATTATTTTAACTAATTTTTTCTATATACGTTTAAACTCAGTGTGTTGTATGCTCATTTTAAAATATAAACATTATATTAACAATGTGACGTATACAACTAAAAGAAATAATTACATTGACATCATTTCAAATGAAAGGTATAACTTAAAGAAATCGGTTGCAAGAGAAAAATGTTTGATTGGAATTGTTTCATTACCTTCTGCACTTCTTCTTCTTGCTTGCATATATCAACTTTATTAAATAACTACATCTTACTCTTATTTAAGCTTCGTTACACACAATGATTATTTCTAACTCATGATTAATACAAACATGCACAAAGTACATTGATAATTGAAAATACATCTCTCCAAAAGAAAAGCCATTCACTTCTAAAAGTAGAAAAACAAGATGGAATTGAAAACATAACAACTTAATGGTAAAGATTGTTACTACTTGAGTCAGCAGTAGTCCAAGTCATATCATTTTCAAAGATTCAGTGACAAACTTCAATCCTACCCGGACCAGATCCAAGAGCCATGAATGCACCATGGCTAGGGCTCCAAGCAGTTGTATCCAAATGACAACACCATGATTAATCTTAACCTTAGAGTCCGAGTCCAAAAGATCCGCTTCATAAACTCGAACCTTTGGAACTAAATGACAGTAGTACAACAAAGAAGGAAACAAACTTTGGTTACACGACACCAATTCAATTACTTTCCCACCATTTATCCATTTAACCTTACAAACCATAACATTTTTACCCCACCCATTCACATCCTGAGTCGATCGATCTCTTTCGTGGATTTGACGATCATGTCATCCATATAGACTTCGAGCATGTCGCATATCTCGTTGCAGAAAATTTTGTTCATCATGCGCTGATATGTAGCATCTGCGTTTTTTAGGCCGAAGGACATTACGTTGTAGTGATAGTTGTCCGACTCGGTCATGAAAGCAGTATACTTTTTGTCCGCTTTCGCCATTGAGATTTGGTTATAACCGGAATATGCGTTCATAAACGATAGCAATTTAAAATCGGCCGAGTTGTCGACCAGTTTGTCAATATTGGGGAGGGGATAAACATCTTTCAGACAAACCCGATTGAGATCAGTATAATCAGACACATGCACCATTTTCCATTAGATTTTTTCATAAGAACTAAATTTGAGAGCCAGGTTGTGTACTGGGCTTCAGAAATAAAATGTGCCTCTAAAAGGTCTTTTACAGCTAGTTCTGCAGCCTCTGCTTTTTCAGATGACCGCTTTCTTCTTCGCTAGGCGACTGCCTTGAGGGAAGTATCTATAGTCAAGTGATGGCATGCGATTTCTGGATCTAATCCGGGCATCTCGGTCGCACTCCAGGCGAATAAGTCAGCATTCTCCCTTAGACAAGCCTTGAGTTTCCTTTTCGCCAAGTCGGGGAGGTCTGCTCCAATCTTCACTCCTCTGGTGGGGTCATTTCCGAGGAGAACGAGCTCGAAGTCTCCGTCCGGGATTGGTTGTGCATGATTCGAGAGTTCTTCACTACCTGCAAACGGGGTCAAACCTTCGCCTTCGACCATGGGCTCTTTTCCTTTTATTTCTTTATTCAATGAGATCTTCTTCGAAGAAGCGACTGTCGAGGTCGATAGCGTCGACCCTCGGCAGTGGCTTGACTTCCTCGGAGCTGGAGGGCAGTGCGGCCCCGATGGTCATTCGAGGCTGAACGTTGATGGAGCTGAGACCTTTGGCTGAAGCTTCAAATTATCTCCTCGCCGCTTGGATGTCCCCGTGGAGGGTAGCTACCAAACCGTCAGCAGTGTAGTACTTCATCTTAAGGTGCACGGTAGAGGGCACCACGATCAACTCGACGAGTGTTGGTCTTCCGAAGATGCACTGGTAAAGAGACGGGCAATCTATTACCAAAAATTGGGTCTTGATGGCTCTGGCTGTCACTCCTCTCCTGGAGGTGACAATCAGCTTGACGTATCCCCAGGGTTTTGTACTGGCCCCATTGAAGCTCTGGAGATTTGATCCAACGTACGAGGTCAGATGGCTCTCATTCAACTGCAGAGTGGTGAACAGCTGGGAGTACATAATGTCTATCAAGCTTCCCTGATCGACCAAAATGTGTCGCACGTCGAAATTCGCCATACGAGCCGTGATGAGCAGCGGGATAGTCGAGTTGGGGGCTTCGCCCGGCAGTTCTTCCCTGTAGAAGGAGATGGGGTGAGAACCTCCTCAAAATTTGTCTAGTGTGGTGTCTATGTTGGAGTTGGCTTCGATCAGTTGGTTGAATCTCCTCTTGATAGATCCCACTGTGTGCCTGTTGAATCCCCGCCGGAGATGACCATAGCGGCGGGGAATGACTCCCAGGGACTATGGGAGGAAAAGTATAAAGGAACGCCCTCCATGTTCGAGAGGTAGAAGTCTTCTGGCCGCGTGATACTCATGGCGATTGGTATGGCGTTAATGTCGGGGGAATCCTTCCCCTCTTTGATATTTTTGGCTTCCTGAGCCTCTTCAAAGGAGGCCTCTTTCTTTTTGTAATCTTTGAGGTTCCCGTCTCGAATTAATATTTTGATTGCGTCCTTGAGATGGATGCAATATTCAGTATTATACTCGTGGCTTTTGTGGAACCTGCAATATTTTCTTTTGTCGATTCCCAATTTTGAGGGCTTTTGTCGGGGAATGCGCACCCGACCTGTTTGAATTCAGAATTTGCGCATTTAGATAGAATATGCTCCCTCAAAGTGGTTAGAGGGGTGTAGTCGTGAAACTGTTCGGCGGGTCCCTTGTAGTCTTTGGGGTCCCGAGATTTGTCTTCTCGCTTCTTCTCTCCTGGATGAGAAGTCGAGGGTTCATCATTTATCTAGGGTTTGACACTCTTATGCCTTGATTCTCGGGCGCTGTTGGCGGGTTCCTTCTCCTCGTACTGTATGTACGCTTGAGCTTTGAGGAGGAGGGAATCGAGCGTTGCTGGTGTCTCGATACCCACCGCCTTGGCGAAGTCACTGCGGGGATAAAGTCCGTGCTCAAAGAGGTATTTCTTCATGTTATCGGTTGTAGAGACATGTACCGCTTCCTTGTTGAAGTGCTCGATGTACGCCCAGAGAGATTCATCTTGCCTTGGATGATTGCTTCGAGTGAAGCTTCCGACTTCGGGTGTCGATGTGAGGCTGTGAAGTGCCTCAAGAACATCGTTCCAAGTTGCTTCAATGAGATGATGAATTCATCTGGAAGACTCTTTTACCAGGACATAGCTCCCTTTCTGAGTGTGGTTGGGAACATCTTGCATTTGATGGCTCTCCTGACCTCTCGGTAGTTGAGGAGAGCGTCGATGTTCTTGATATGTTCGTCAGGATCCGCCGTCCCGTCGTACGTCCCCAAGGGGGTGGTTTCTCTAGTTCGACTGGAAGAGGTGCTTTTGTAATTTCCCTCGACAATGATCCATGAGATTCATCATCGTCGCTATCTACAGGA